GTTTGGGTCAGCTGTCCTGGCTGTGCCCCCTCCCAGCTCCTTGTGCACCTCCAGCCTTCTCAGTCGGTAGAGCACGGGGAGCTGAGAAGTCCTTGACTAGTGTAAGCACTACGTAGCAACAACTAAAACATCGGTGTGTTATCAACATTATTCTCATACTAAATCCAAAACACAGCTACTAGGAAGAAAATTAACTTTATCCCAGCCGAAACCAGGACAACCAGTGTAGCATTCACCAAAAATTGCAAAAAAAAGTAATTTTCAGAGGACAGAGCAGGCTGGTATTTAACAGAGGATAGAAAAACTATCCACATCTCTCAGAAAGACCATTTTCTACTTTCAACCTGCAAAAACAGAAAGACTTCAAAAACTTTAATAAAACAGAAAGCTGAAAGGGGCGGGGAGAGGCTTTTCCTAGCTGCACATTTTGACCATTACATAACTTCCATTGATACAAGCAAGACACTTTCATTTTTATTGGTATATTCAAAGAAATTGGGTCCTGAGCTGGAAGAAGGCATAAGATAACCTAGTAAAATCTGGACAAGAAAAATCTCCTAACGCTTTATTAAATACACTGAATGGAAATAACAAATTTCCGACCCAAACCTTGAATCCTGAGGTTGTCGAATATGGAGGCCTTATTATCTACAACGAACAAACTGCTGACGTTATCTAAGCCTGATAAGGAAATCGGAGTTTAAATCTGTCACGCAAACAAAATAGTAGACAGCTTAACAGAACAGTTATTCCAGTGAGCTTTTTTCCTCTGCACAACTTCTTGCTGCTTCCAGAGAGCCAGTAATTACTTTGCAGATTAAAGAAGCTGCCAGCAGGCCTTGCTGTGTTCAACACCTCAATGTCATTACAAATTTGATGGAAGAGCATGCTGGAATAACAAGTACAAAAATCAGTAATTTCATTGTTCTCATTAAATGCCCCATACGCCAAAGGTAGCAACGCTCTACAGCAGATCCATTGGTCCCTAGGCACTAGTGAAGATCGTTTATTTATCAGGTTAGGATTTCTTAGATTTTATTTGTACTATTTGAAGAACAGGCTAAGAGGGACTTTCTGCATATCTGTTAAATTTAGTCCTTATTCTACTCCCCAGGCAAGCAGGAAAGTGTATTTCCTAACTGATCCCTATTTCCTCATACATTATTTTAATGCAAGCTGGTTTAGCCCCACCCATGCAGCGCCAGAAGAACAACAACTGCAACTGCACACAGGATTTTGCACTGGACAGGCCAGCTGGAAGACAGGGTTTAATATTCAGCATTTGCTTACACTGCATTTACAGCTTTGTAACTGTTTTGTCCAAGGCTAGAAGGGACTTGAGTTATCTCCAGTCGTGACTGAAGATGGCCATACCAATACTAACCTATTTAACTAGGAGAAAAACTACCAAACATTGAGAGTTTCATCTTTAAGATGCTACTGCTACTAGATCTTCACTTAGATTTCGGATCTCAAGGTACTGCTCCTGTGAAAGATAAGCTGGACCAAAAACTGTGACAAGAAACCTCCATATCACCCCCACTGCAGCAGCCCAGCAAGACAACCATGAAAGAGAAGCAACTCATCAGTCAACAAAAATGGGATGATAAAGTAAAGCTAGGTCCCAGGTGGGAAAAGCAAGCCTGCATCACTGAGCTCTGCTCAAGCAGTAAGGAGTACTCCACTGTTTGACTGTGAAAGAACACCAGGATGCTGGATAACAATTTAAAAAGTGCCCTTTTTTATTTTGTAAGGCAAGGAAATTGAAGTCAAACAACGGCTGTAAGGAAGAGTCTGCTGGGGCATTGACTCAGGTGTGTTTGCTTCCAGCTGTTTGGCCATTCGCAGAAGACATTTCAGTGTGCACATATAAACCTAACTAACAGTATAAATAACTGTCATAAAATACAATAAAAACCCTAAACCCCATATTGTATAAGATATCTCAGAGACATCCACTGGGCTCTTTAACACAGAGGACAACACATAACTTCTGTAGCCTTGACTGTAATGTGTAAAAAAGGTTTAGAGACAGTTGTATCACTAAAATGACCTCGTGTTTGGACATCCTGGAGTTACTGCAAGTGTAAAAGCATCATCATTTATACTAGCTTTCCTTCTGAAGTTATGTCAGACAGCATAGTAACTGCTGCTACTAACTGTTCCAGTATCACTGACTCCAAAAACATAACACGTCAGCCTCTCAGGCTAATTAAATACAAAAGCGAAACAGCCATTACCTCAGGTAACAGTTTCCCCAAGAAATTTAGTGCGTTTGAATGCCACCTCAGTTAAAATTAACCATCAAATACGATATAATCACAGAGGTGACATGAGACTATACAACTTGGTGATTTGCTACAAGCAAGCTTATTTCACCAAACAACCAAATCCATGCTCAGACAATAAATTCTGAACTTACTTTGGCACATTTTGAATGCTCTCGCATACCTAAGAAAGAGCTCCAATTAAGCTAAGTAACAGATACAGCCAGGCAGCACAAGCTTGACCTCCAAACTGACAAACACCAACCCTGACCTAGAGAAATCTCCAAGAGGCCAGAAGAACCCCTATGCCCAACAAGGCACCTTCCCATCTGGCAACTATACGAACTCATCTCACCCAAGTCAAAACCAGGCTTGAGTACTGACCAGGCATTTTCTTTCCACAAAGGTGGAGTCCTAGAGCACTGTGTCCTCTTAGATGAAGTCGCGCACGCTATCCCTGCAATCCCAAAACAGTTAGTGATGTCCATGCCTCCTTCTTCTGCTAAAGAGAACTAAATAACTGTAGGGAACCAGCAGGAAGAAACTGCCAGGTCTTCCAAGAGCGTTTTTCTGCTAAGCATTGTGGCAGAGTAGCACTTTAAATACTGATGCTTTTATAAAACATTCAGCTTTCCCCAAAAAGCAGGAACAAAAGGAAAAAGTTGATTGTTCCCTATCAGCATGTTTACATTATCCTCATTTGGTTTTTTTTGGTTGACACCACCCTCATGCTTTTAAAGAAATGTTTACTGCACAGAGTGTTGCTCCCCCAGCCCAATTCTTCCTCTAAGAAAAAAGGCTTTGCTTCTGATTGATTCTAAATGGCCCTCTGTTTCCTCTGGCCATTGTTCCAAAGAGGGAGGAGTATTCAAAACCCCACAAGTTTGTTTGAGATTTCCTGGCTAAAACCACAAAGCTCATCTTTACATGTACTTGCTGTCCAACAGAATTATTGCTCCTGCTGCTTTGCCTGACCCCAGACACTGAGGCACACACGGCAGTCTGGGAACTTAGCCTTTTGACTTCACAGAGTGCCTGAAGGACACTTACGTTGTTTTGAGCCCGTGAATAGGTAATCAGTTCTCAACCTCAGAGAACGACAGATTTTCTGCCATATCACAAGATTTGTATGCTGTGAGTTAACCGTCCCCCAGCTATGGCCAGCAGAAATAGCATGCAGCGCAAAATATTCTACACTACAGCCAAGCGAGAAGCAGCAACTTGATTCACAAAAGGTAAGCAGTAGTGCTCTTCAGCGTGGTCAAGCAAAGAATGCGTCCCACAAAAAGAAGTGTCAGGAAAAGTACAGAATTACTTCTAGAAACACAAACAAGAGACGGATTAAGCATTCCTCCGGATGTACAAAACATGACTGCAATTAGGAAAATTAAAGTAGTTTGCCTGAATACTCAAATCCTGCGCTCCTGGAATTTATCTCTGTCCCCAAGGCCTATCCCATTTTGCAGCTTCAGCAGTTTTTAACATGCACTCTAAACAAAGTCCATTCCTACACAATCAACCAATTGCCAAGGCAGCAAGAGTTAATTATGCATAGCTCTTGCCAAATGTTTAAGTTGTATCATAACAGACTGTCACAGGAAGACAATTAACACTTATTTGGCAGAGAAGATAGGATCTGGTGAAGGTGAGCATAAAATCAGATTTTGAGGCTCTTCTTCCCTTCCACTTTAAGGCAGCACAGGGGCAAATATTTTGCATATGATCTCAGAGGAGAAAGCAGCTGTCAGATCTCTGTGGTTTCTGAGAATAAATACACTATCCTGTAGCAATGAGACACCTAGGGGGAGAATAGAATTGGTAAAGTTGCATTATACTTGCTTCTTCCAAAGCGCATTCATTCCTTACCTTTATTTCAGAAAGCTGCATGACTTCTGGGAAGACTTCGATACAGTTGGAGTGAGCAATTACTGTATGCATACGTCTGCAGTTCATGATAGTTGTTGGAATGGCTTTCAGTTTGTTCCCACTAATATCAATTTCCTCCAACTCTTCCAGCTTGGCCATTTTGCTATGAAAACAGGAGTTTGAGAATTTTTTTCTTTTAATAGACACGCATATTTTATTTTGAAGCGGTGGTAAGAGCAGTGGTTTTCATTATTTTAAGAAAATAAAATCGCAGACTTTGGTCCTTGTTCACAGCAGTGCCTGTCACCTCTCCTCACATCAGACACTAACACAGTTCTGGAACAAAATGTGTGCTGCTTCTGTCAATGTTTTGCTAACGCTACTTTTCAAGTGACTTATTTTGCTTACATTTCCCCTGCTCACCAGCTCACTTTCACTCTTTTTCCTCCTTCCTTCCCCTTTCTTTCAACCCTAGTTTCTCACTTCACCCCAATTTTTCCCTTCCTTCTTCTGACATCCCACTCAGCCCTTCCCCCTAATTCATTTCCCTCCCTCCCCCTTGCCCAGCTGCTCAGAACATCACAGAAGGAGAGAGATGTCTCTTCCTTTATTTACTGGCATCTCTTTTCCAAGGTTGTACCCCATCAGCTTTACAGCACATCTTACACTTGAAAGATTTCTGATTAAAACAGAGTGAATTGAAAGTACAGAAATTGCTGCCAAGGCAGAATCTCCTTCTGGAGTGAGAGGATTTTTCCCCAGTGGAGTTTAGTCCACTTTCAGAGGACATTTCCAGACTGCTATGCTCACAAATCTGCTGTAAGGAGAAGCCCACCAGGTGTAAGCAAAGTGACCAAGCCAGGGAAAACAGAAGACCTCCTTGCTTGACTTCAAAAGCATAATGTGGTCATGCTGAATTAGTCCAGTTGAAAAAAATTTCAAGCGCAATCAAAACACACCGACTAATGTGCAGAACTCACTTGTCTCTGTAATGCAAGAGAGGGTAGCAATGTGCAAGAGGGCATAGCAGGTGAATCCACCCACTGCAGTATCACTGCGTTCAAAATACAGCCTGTGCCACCACATTTCTGTGCAATTTAGTTCTCGCTGTGAAAATGTTTCATGATGCCCACCCACCGGTGGGGGCCAGAGGCAGTGAAACCAGTTACTTACCTCGCAGGGAAGCTCTGTAGGCGATTGTAAGCCATGTGCAAGATTTTCAGGTGTGGATGGCCTGTTAACAAGGGTACGCATTTATCTGTGAGGTTGTTATTGGTCAAATACAACTCCTGTAAGATGCTATGGGTTTCTTCAGAAAGAGTGGCTGGAGGAAGCATTTCCAGTTTGTTGGCAGAGGCGTTAAGAAATCTCAGGCTGCAAAGAGAAGTTGCATAAGGGAGTTCAAGTGAAACATCCTGCAGGTTTTGTCTAGAAGAATAAATAAATATCTCTATTTTTAAGAGGTAAGATAGTTATAAAGCAAAGGTCAAAAGCAACAAGTTCACACCAATGCACAGAAAGACCAAAAGTCTAGCATTACGTAAACAAAACTTCTCATCATGTTTTTAAATGAACACATTTGTATGAACAAAACATCAGCAAAATGAGTATGTCAAAATGCCTCTATCCCCTTATCAAGACCTCAGTACTTCCAACATTACTACAGAGGTACCTACAGATAAGAGCGATAACAAACCACATCATTTCCATATTCATTTCACAGAAAAATGAATTCTGAATTAATCAACAAATCAGAGTATAGCTGCCCTTCAAGTGACTAAAAGAAGACATTGGTAAAAAAGCCAGACGATTTTTCAGTATTTTAAATACTGGCTAGGATGCAGACAATATTTTGTTTAAACCTGCAGGCCTGAAAGCAACTACAAAATATGAAAAAGTACTCTTTGACTATTTGGATAACTAAAGATGCACCAATCACAAAAAAAAACCCAAAAACCAAAAACAAAACCACCCTGAGACCAAGCAGTAATTTGCCTTTTAGATTTTAAAGAGAGACAGTGCTATAATAAATTGAGTTTAAAAAGTTACATACTTGCTTGCTGATGTATGCAGCAAGACAGCCAGATCTCTATGTAGTTCCTGAGTGCCCTTCCCCTACTCCCCAAAGTAGCAGAAGCCCTTGTCGGTATTTTCTGGAGTCCCACCACAAGCAGCAAGGACTGAAGAAGCACAGAAATGAAGTCATTCTTTCTCCCTCAAAGGACTTTTTCCAGGATGGGAACAAGACCTGTTGAGGTATAGGCACTGCCCACTCATGCCAGTCACGTTCTGCAGGCAGAGGACTCATGTTTCTTTAGGGGAGTTTGATGATCACAGCAGCACTGGAGGAATACACACTGTAGGCATCCTGAGGGCTAGAATTCACACAAGCAATTCCAAAGAAATGGAAAAATAAGGCTATTTATCCTTTAGTAACCAACTCTGGCATGACCATGCCTTTTCAACAGAAATAAGACCTCTCTCTTCCTTCCTCCCCTTTTCAGAAAAGGCTGCCTTAGAGAACTTGCAATACAGAAGTAAGTGTGTGCCTGCCAGTCTGCAGTGACCGTGTTCAAACCAGGCTGTTCTGCTCCTACCAACTAACGGGAACGGGCAGCTGCAACGAGCAAAGCTGCATTCAAGAAACAAGACTCAGAAATGAGCTGGCTGAAGCCTATAGAGCCACTGATCAGGACGCTGAAGGTAGATGTGCTCCTGTCATCAACCTTAAGAGAAAGTGATAAAATATCGACAGCTTCTCCCATGCATGCAGGAATCCACACCGACCTTTAAGGTCTATTAATGAGTGAAATGGATTTGCAAGAGTTGCAGCTGGTTGAAACTTGCTCAGCAGCAAGTAAGGGTCAGACATGCTACAGAGGAGTCACGTGGAATGCCAAAGGATTAAAAAACCCCCCACTATTTCCATTAGAAGCAAAAATCTCTCAGCACTGCACAGAACTGAAACTAGGTTAGCTGTTTTACACAGACAGGAGTGTTTCTCCACTTTGGAGAAACACACAGTTTAATCCTCAGGCTCATTCATTATTCACAAGGGTGGTAAAACTCCAGAGGAGGAAGGGAAGAGAGGGAGGATTAATACAGAGAAGGGAATAAGCAGCTGAAAGAGTTTTTAAAATTATTTATTTATTCTAAAAAGATGCTGCTCAATTTCACCCTTTAGCTATAAACTAAAAATATATTAAGCTCATTCAAAGTTGGATTATTAAACTGAAGCATGCCACATCAATGGTTCCCGTACTTAATTAAACACCAGCAAGCAGACATATTGCTTAAGTACAGACAACTACTACTTTGGCAACTTCAATCTAATATGCATGATAGTCTTCTCTCTCCACAAAAAAGGCCCTTTGATTAACATTAAAGCCACTGTATCTTTTGTACCACTCATAGTACAAAATGGTCATCTTCCGCTCAGCCTGGAAAGGCTTGAGTAATAAAAAGGTTTAAGGCTGCTGGGAAAAGTGAACTTTCACAGGAATATGATGAGGATGAGGAGGTGGCAGCAAAACATCCCCCAAGAAAGGGCATGCTCTGCTACCCTGGAGAGGAATCTGTATTTTACTTATGCTCTTGCAAGCTGCAGCAGAATAACCTGGAGTGTTTCACAGTTACCTTCTTTTAATAACCAAACGGAGCCAAACAGATAACCTAGAGAGCATCCTATGGCTACGAAGTTCAGAAGAACGTAAGTTTGCTCAAGTACAGCTAGCCCAAAACACAGCTGAAAACTTTGAGTAAGAAAAGGTACATTGCTCTGATAAAGCTGAAATTAATATAGTCTACTATACTGAAGCCATTTTAAATTCAAAAGAAAAATGAATCAAACAAAAGCTCTTCTGTTTTTAATAAACTTTCAACATTGGTGGACTACAACAAGAAATTTCAAGCTGTTCCCTCACTAGTATTAAAAGTGGCCGGAATCTGCGTATTCCTGCCAAAAAAAAGTTTTGATGCATATATTTTCCAATAGGGAAAGGAGAGAGGAGAGCTGTTGCTCTGTACTCCCCCGCCCTTTTGCCAAATCTTCCAGAGAGTGATACGACAATGTTGGAAATAAATCCCCATCATCCTGACCTACAGTTTAGTGCCTTGATGTGAACAAGGTTTAGGTGGCTAGCAAAGTCTTGCTAACAGTCCAGAATGGGAAGCCTGTGGTAGCAGGGTATCTCACCTACCCTATACGTAACAACTCATGGCTGGGTAGCACTCAACAGTCACGTTCAGGATAGTCACATACTAATCTCTGTAGCTGACATAATTAGAATTAAATTAACTTTCTAGAAAAGAATATGCTGCTTATTTACATGTTCCTTTTGACCAGCTGTTACATTAAAATGGTAAAAACCATTCTGAAATGATAATTCTTTCAAGATATTCTCTGGATTAAAAAATGCAAACGGGGGGAGACACACACCATTCTTTGGGCAGAGAACAGAGCGAACCAGCAGATTACTACTGCCAAAGCTTTGTCAATTCTGTGCTATAATCTGTACTTGCCCATCAGGTTTTCCCTCACAAAAGTGCTCCTCCAGGTTATTTCCACTCCCCTATTTCTTCATCCTCATGCAACGCGCCAGCTGCTACCTTAGAAGGCACATCGTACAAATGCCCTCCAGAGGAGTGGAAATTTCCTTGAGCACTACTGTTCCCATCTCTCTTGTGCATGGACTTAAACTGATTCATGTTCCTTGAAGATATCCCACTCATATTGCTTATCAGATGGAAGCAGAATGTCAAGTATTAAAGCTCAGTCCAAAATTAATTGTTTCCCTTTCCAACTCCACCCACACACTATACCACAAGCTCATGAAAAAAGTACAGCATCACTATGAAAACCTGAATTCGGCAGCCTGCACTCATACTGGAGTATAATATAGTGAGGACAGCATGAATTAACAAGCCATAAAAAGAGTGTTGGAGATTAAGAAAGAAACGAAGGCACTGGCAGGGAGATGCCAGAATTCTTCAGCTTTGACAAGGTGCAAATTCTCCCCTGGGGTAATAATATAAACATTGACCTCCGGCCGGAATAAGTCACCCTCAGTTTTATAGGGTATTAAAGTACAATCCCTTGCTGGATTTAACTTTTCCAAGAGACAAAATAAAAAAAAAGGACTGTCCCAAAGAATAGGCTGAATCAAGGACATGGATCTAATTCAACAAAACAGACCTAATATGCAGTCACATGCATTCCCTATTTAAACCTAGAGGATTCTGATCTCAATTTGAACTTCCAAAAGCAGAGGAAGAAAATCTTCTACTGAAAACTGCAAAAGGTTCGAAATTTTTTAAACACCAATGCCTACCTCTAGCACACACAAAAGCTGAATAGAGACAATTGTGAGAATACAGCATCTCCCCATTCCTCACTGTTTTCTGAGGTAGCTTGGCAAACTTGGCTTGCTGGTAAGACAGCCACCACTGAAAAATGTAAGTCCTCCAAAAAGCTTAGGAATGTTCAACATTAAAAGGAGCAACACAGACAACTATATCCAATGACAATGCAGCAGCAAATCAAAGCCACTGTGCTTAGCTTGAAAGTACTGGTAAGAGTTGGAAAGAATACTGCAGCTGCAAAAAAAGAATATGCAGAGAAATCAAGATCTCCAGTTTGCCCTGTGCCCAAGATCTCCATCAGCACAGAGCAACCAAAATACAAAATTTCCTCTTCAGTCCCTTCTGCAGAGACATGCCCTCAATTTCTGATCACCTAATCCTAAAATAATTTATGATTGTGGTAGCAGATGTGTGAGGAAGAATCCTGTAAGCTAGGCATGTCTGGGGGGAAGAAGAAAGAGGGGGGAAAAAAATAAAAAATGAAGGCAGTTTTGCCAGCCCATGCAAAAGAGTATTTCTTCTCCTTAAAAAAAAAAAAAAGACAGAAACATTCAAATGAATCCCCTTCCTGTTGATGGACTGCCAAAAAAACCACTTAACTGCTGCTGTCTCCTCAGCTCTTACTTTCTAACCTGTCTTTAGCTGTTTAATTAACCAGGATTTCCCCAGTGTCTAATATATCTGCTTACAAATCCTAACCTACCAGCAAAGAAACAAATGCAGCTAAGCATTTCTGCCACAAAAGTATGTGCATCAAACACTCAAATAGCTCTTTGCGTTCATTTGACACTGTTTCCTCCCTCACTTCTGCATTCACAATAGGACTGAATACTTGCATCAAAAAGAAGGAGCCACAGTGGGTAGAAATGGCAAATATCAAACAAGAGCAAGTTTAACTGGGTCACCTTCCAGAACTCCAGAAAAAAAAGAAAAAAAAACCAACCCAAAACAAATTAAATCAAATCAAAACAAACAAACAAACAGAAAATCAAAACAGATAAGAACAGCTGAACAAAGCTGAAAACAAATATCATGCAGATGAGAGCCTAGACGGGCTCCAAATAGCCGACACTGGCTTAGCCACCACAGCTCGCCACTACCAGACACTAGAAAACAGAGCCCAAGGTTTAAGCTGTGCACATCACAGCTACACATCTTCACCACACAACTGCTTTAAGTAGTCTGATGGCTGTTTGAAGGGTTTATACCGAAAACATTCATACTAACTGGAAAGGAAGCTCAGGCAAGAGGCAGATGCCCACCCTTCACCACTGTGTCTCAATTTTTAAACCCTCCTGACCACTGCCGCTGCTTTTCTACCATACTCCGCTAAAGCTCTTGAATGCTTGTCCATCTTATCCAAAGAGCATTTTGTAGAACTGTTTTCATGCCATTAAATGGTAGTTTGCTGCAAGCTGGTCAAGGAAGGCAGTAAAAAGCGTGTACGAGAATCGGACAGAGCGGGAAAGGCATCACAACAGATGAAGCAGTGGATAGAAATGAAAGGCTGCCGGAATGCAAGTACATGAAAAAAGGTTCAGGACTCAGCTTAGGAGTTTTCCCCATCAGCCATAGCACTTGCATGAATTCTCTGTTTTTGCAGCATCTGGTAATGAGAAATGAAGAGATTATCTGGCTGCCTCTGTGGCGCTCATCTTGCCAAGAAAATCCCCACCCTTCAAGAGAAATCCTTGCTAACATGATCAAGATGTGCATACTTTCAGTGCAATAAACAGAACCAAGTTCTGTCTTGGTCAGAGAAATAGTTCATAGGCTAGTCCCCAATTTCTCCTCAAGTAACAGTTTAAAATAGAAATCAATTAAAAAGCAGACCAACAAAATATCCCTAAATTATAGTCTTCAGCAGACAATGACACCTTTTTATTGGTTTTTGAAGGATTAAGGCAGAAAAGCGATGTTTGTTGATTCTTCTATTAAGAGAACAGAGGTTTTTCAGTGTTTTTTTCCATTTTTTTGGTGAAAGTGATATCCTCTCTTCATGCACCAATGCACCGATTTCCCTCCCTTCCTCAGATGCTCTAGATGTCAAAGCCCACCACTGCTTGTGCTGAAGTTTGCCTAAAGCACTTCACACCCACTTCATCAAATATTCAGGACTGAGAAGGAGAAAGCATTTATAATTCACAGCATGAGACTTCATATCCAGACAAGCTATCATCTGTCAGTTGCACAGACCTGAGTATCTTTCAAAAAAAATAAACTAATCTTTTCAAGGCTGCAGAAGGTAAGTCATTTTATGGAGAGATAAAGGTTCTGTAAGGTAAAGTGATTTGTCCAACATTACACGCTGGGTAGAGACCATGGCAGAACGCTCAGGAAACCCAGTTTTCTTGGCGTGTCTGGCAGTACAGATTGTGCTTCCCAGGGAGTTCCTGGAGAAAAGAAGCATTTTACCTTTTTGAAACAAAACAAAACAAACCCCTGAACACCTTTTCCTGGCCCAGACCCATTTCTGTTGACACTTAGCTGCTGAAAGATGCAAACATTTGAAAACAAAATAAAAAGAAAGATGTTTCCTCTAGGAAATTCCAAATTTAAAGCTTGGACATTGTACACTAATCTGCACTGCTGTTTTCCTTCACAGTTATCACTTCTGCAGCGGTTACAGGAACACCAGCATGGACGAGCCATTTGCAAGCCAAGTCATCTAAACCAGTAATGGCGTAGGGTATAAGGGGGAAAACCCCACCCAAGCCAACTGCTTCTATTATCATCACAAACGAGGGAGCCTGCAGTGGTGATGAGATGCCAGAATGGGTAAGCTCCGTTCATCTCCTGCGAGGGTACCCGACTTTGTCAATACCCCTAGAAGACTTTGAAAACACGTGCCCTGTACTGCTTGAAAGCTGCAAAACATTGAAACTGCAGAGAGGAAAAATCCCCAAGTCTCAATCAGCCATTTAATACTGTTATTCAATACATTTTTCAATTCTACCTCTTTTCAGCACACATTTAGCAACTTCTGGAAATCTATCCCCAATTCTGGTTTTAGCCTGTACTTGCTCATTTTGGCATCACAAAAAAATAATGAAAAGCCATCTACAGTTTTGTAGCTCAGTTTAAAAAGATGAGTTGCAGTACAAAAAAGATTTATTCAGCTTCTCTCTCACTGCCAAAATTGCACTAATCTACATCCTAGACCTACAAACTGTTTTTAATACAAATTTTACAAAATTATTTCTCTCTCTGCTTTCAAAGATGTCGGTAGCTTTCTGAAACTTACTTAAAGGTTTCTTTCCTTTCCAAGTTAACAGATAGGAATTTCAACTTGGGACCTGTAAGTAGGATTTTTTTATTGACCTAATCTTGCAACTTCCTGTAAAAAAGCTTTTTACAAGGTTTCATTTCTGAAGTTCATACAATCTCTAATGTACAATAGTTTGAAAAGTCATCCACAAGACAATTACAGCTGCTGATGTGAAACATCCTTGCCACATGAATGGGCTATGAATTTCACCACTTTTAAACAGAAATGTGCCAGATAATTGCAATTAGTACAGTAGCAACATTGCTAAGTTTCAATGCTTTGACTGCACTTTTATGTAAAGTCTCAACTGAAACAGTAAATTAACATCAGAGTAACTTTGCTGATAATCAATTTGTTCCAAAGGTGGTATCCTACACAGGCTTGGATGTGGACAGGTATGCAATAGTGTTGTTCAAAATAAAACAAAATTGTACAAAAATTATTTCAAAGGTTCTTCAAAGCAAATCAAGGCTGAAATGAATCACGCACTGGTTCCCAGAACCAAAACCCCATCCTAGTAAAGTTCACCTTTTGAAAGATAATTTTCAACCTAAATGATAAATTCCTCAGAACATTACTGTTCAAGAGTAAGTCAAGTTAAGAGTTTATTTAGAAATCATCTCAACCGCAAACCTAATTTGCCAACTCCCAACACTGTGAATCCCAGGAAATTTAACCAGAGGTTCATGACAGAATGAACAACAGTATACAAGTAGGAGTTTTGCAATGCTTTTAATTGGGTGAGGAGCTGTGACAGTGAGATCACCACTCTTCTTGCTTCTCCACTGCTCAAGAAACCGAGGAGCTACGCGTTCCTTTTGTCACAGTTAGGATCAGAAAAAAACCCCACAGCACACAATCTCACTATCTGTTAAATTACGCATGGGTTGAACACTCAGAAATCCCATGACTATTTGTGGAAGTGCAGAGGTACAAGGAACACTGACACCACACAGGGCAAGCCCATCCACCATCCCCAGACTATGCTACCAACCTCCCGTATTTCAATCACAGCCACCTTACAGGGTACGTTCATACCCAGGAAAAAAGATTATGAAGACTCTGAGACTAAAGAAACTGCAGCATAAAAATAAGAATCCAGAAAGCAGATCCAGTAGTGACACCAGCTAAATTAGTGACAAACATAGAATCATAGAATTGTTTAGGTTGGAAAAGACCTTTAACATCATCAAGTCCAACCGTCAACCCAACACTGCCAAGTCCACCACTAAACCATGTCCCTAAGCACCACATCTACAGGTCTTTTAAACACCTCCAGGGATGGTGACCCAACCACTTCCCTGGGCAGCCTGTTCCAGTGCTTGACAACCCTTTCAGTGAAGAAATTTTTCCTAATA